AAAATCAAAACTGGTAACAAACACGGTTGGCCATATATTTAACTGGAAAAAAAGATGTTGATAATAACCTAACAACAAGTTGAAAAACATGATTTCAACTATTCTATCGTCAACTTCCGTTGCAGTATACCCTTTTTGCCTGAATATAGAGTTCTTGTCTCCCAGTTGGTTTGACAATCAAGAATTTACTCTACTTACGAACAATTTCTTAAATTAGCAGAGCTATCAACAAACAAGTTGATGAAACTGGATATCATCAATATCGCATACTGATTTCATTTTATCCTATAATGTCAAAGAGTACACAACGGGTGTGACCGGTCATATCTTTGTTTGTAAGGATTTTTATTACGTTTAGGGATCCAGTATGGTAATTCAAATTCATTCTGGTTGTTAGAAATATTAAAAATATTCAAATCTGACATATGGTTTTGAAGTATTTCATCTTTTTGCCCCCCCCCCTTAATCGCTTAATGCGAGATTTTAACATGTATCGGATACATTTTATCTACTCTGATAAAGTGTCAAGGTTGTCCTTTTCATGTTTTGCCGATTGCCTGGCCTAATCTTCCACTGGATTCATTATATTTATGAAATTATGACTCCAGTTGAAATATCAGAGTTCCCTAAATTCTTTAAAATTAATAATTAATGGGCATCTTCATATACTATATTTAGTAAAACGTTTCCAGCAGGACTATAGCTGTATTGTGAAGAAGAACACGCAGAGGAAAGAGGATTGTGTTTCAGATATTTGATATCTAGGCTCTGTAAAATATTCTTGTAATAAAAAATATGGACATAACGAACAGTATTCAAGATCAAACGTCCATAAAACAATACAGCAGAGCAAACACAGACTTCCAAAATATCAGAGGTGGGATAAGATGCCATGGAGGAGTGAGCTTCCCCTGCCAATCGGTCACATCCACCATGTCCTCCTTGTCATGATCGGTAAATAATAGAAAACTTTGTCGTCAATTCGGTGTATAAATAATGTACTAACAATTAATATAAAAAAACGTCAGTAAGCATTTAACTCAATGATAAATTGTATTTGCTGACATGGTCATTGTATCGACCATAGAACTTACAAAATGATGACTTTAGACGAAACTGCTGATATTCTTATTTCATCAACTTGTTTGTCAATAATTTTCCTCCTTTTAGGAATTGTTCATGCGTATCGAATCAATAAGATATATAAAATCTGTATGCAGGTGATGAAGGTATATTGCTGCATAAGTAAGGGAAGTTGACGAAAGAAAAGTTAAAGCCATCACTTTTAGTGATTTAGACATAGAGCTTGGTTGTTAACCTCTTTTTCAAGTAAAATTTCCAAATATTAAACAGATATACACATGTCGGAGTCTGTGGTATCTTTTTTCTCAAGTTCACCAGGATATATACTAGTAGTATCCACATAGTAATGGAAATTACCATTGCTAATCGATAATATGTCTTCGTTATATCTAAATGTCGAGTTGAAGGCCACATCAAGTGTCTTTATCTTTAAGATTTTGCACAAATTCTGCTTCATATGAATAGAAAAATAGGTCTGCTAATAATGGGGTGCAATTCGTACCCATGGGTATTCCAATAGAAGACACGGTCCCAGGATCATGCAACAAACTTAGATTTAAGTCAAAATTTCAATCTACTGTAAACTAATTATTATTATTGAATTAATCTCTAATTTTGCAAATGACAACACTTTTGTAAAACTGTTTGGTTTTGGTCTATTTGACTTCTATATTATTTTTGTTCAACAGGAAGATTTTGACTTAAGCTTAAGATGCTTCATGATCCCTGGGCCTGGTCTCCAAAAACAACATAATATTGTCAATCAGAAACTCAAGCATCTTTTGATGTCAACTTCAGAGTACTTGTGCGTACAATCAGAATGATTTTAAACAAAATAATTTGGCAAATGACCAATGAAACGGTGAGTAAATTTACGAGTTCCCTTTGTATTGAAAAAGCAAGCTGTCAATGATAGCAAAATGGCTGGACTTTTATTTATCGTGGGGAATGATTGTGTATAATGTTGAAAAGTCATAAGTTTTTAAGCTGTTGATTTTGGTAAAATCTTGTGATTTCAAGTTTTTCAAAAGTTCCTTGGAATTTTTAAGTATCCACATCTGATTTACACCACTTCTTGAATATATTTTTGTACAGTACTCTTGAAGTTTCTCCTTTACTACTGTTAATTTCTTAGTGAGTAGTAAAGAAATAGGCTTGGTTGAACATTTACTGGAACCCGCCATGTATCTTTGTTTGTAAGGATTCTAATGAAAAATTAAGTTTCGGAATCCAGTATATATATGGTAGTTCAAATTCATTTTGGTTCTTTGGGATAATAAAAATATTCAAATATGACATATGATGTTGAAGAATTTTCTCCTTAGAAAAGGAACTATAACAATAAGTTGGATTACCACCTATAGAATTAAATCCAACTTCTTCTAAAATACAATTCATACAATGCGCCTTACTAACAATGTTGTTACCTGCTTTGTCAGCAGGGACCAGTACGTAATTATCATGTAATCTATCTAATTCTTTTTTCACTTCTGGATTAATGAATACAGAGGGATAGATGGTTTTCATATTTTAATTAATATGTATCTGATACATTTAATCCATTCTGAAAAAGTGTCAACGTCTTCTTTTTCATTTCTGACCCATCGTCTGGCATAATTTTCACCAGAATCCATAATATTTATGAAATTCCGACGCCGGTTGAAGGATTGGGGTTCCTTATATTTAGGACCTTTTACAATTAGTGATCTAAGGTCCTCATCATTAACTACAGTTTTGTATATTTACGTGTTCAGCAGGACTATATTGATAGGGTAAAAAAGAACATGAACACGATGGAGGATTATGTTTCAAATACTCGATATCCAGTCCATGTAAATTTTTTTTAATTGAAAAGTTTGGAAGCAATAGTTGATGTATATTTGTAGGAAATACAAGGCGTAGTCTTTAACTTGAAATATGGTGGAATACCAGACTGGACCTTTTGTTATTAGGAATATTACTTGTATTAACTGCATCGATTCCTTTATTGATCGTTTTGCAAAATTATATTGTTAAAAAAATTCTGATGGTACACACAAGTACTCTGAAATTAACATTAAAAAGATGCTTCTGATTGACAATATTTGTAGTTTTGAAGACAACAGATTTTTCCAAATGTCTGTTGGACTTGCCATGGGTACCAATCGCTCCCAGTTATTAGACGCACCTTGTCCTTGGTCATTTGCAAAATTATATTGTTAAAAAAATTATGATGGTACACACAAGTACTCTGAAATTAACATTAAAAAGATGCTTCTGATTGACAATATTTGTAGTTTTGAAGACAACAGATTTTTCCAAATGTCTGTTGGACTTGCCATGGGTACCAATCGCTCCCAGTTATTAGAAGACCATTTTTTTTATTCATATGAAGCAGCATTTGTCGAAACTCTTCGATTCGATTTTTGCAAATGACCAAGGACAAGGTGCGTAAATTTAAGAATTCAATTTTTATTGATAAAGCAGCTTTCAATGATATCAAAAAGGATGGACTTTAATTTATCGTGGCGAATAGTTGTATATAAAGTTGGAAAGTCATACGTTTTAATGCTGTTGATTTTGATAAAATTTTGTGATTTCAAATTATCCAAAAGTTCCTTGAAATTTTAATTATCGACATCTGATTTACGTCACTTTTCAAATATATTGTTGTACAGTACTGTTGAAAATTCTTCTTCATCACTCTTCATATTTCATTGAGGAGTAAAGAAAGAGGCTTAGTACAACATTTACATGGAACCCGCTATGTATCTTTGCTTGTAAGAATTTTTATGAAGTTTTGGAATTCAGTAAGATATGGTACACTGTAATTCAAATTCATTCTGTTTGTTAGGAATATAAAAGAGTATTCAAAACTGACACATGATTTTGAAGAATTTCATTCTTTAAAAGGGAGCTATGGGTATAAGTTGGATTACCACTAGTAGAATTAAATCCCAGTTCCTCTAATATGCTATTTCAATAATGAGCTTTTCAAACAAAGATAATGTCGTTACCTGCAAACAAATCAATGGTCTAAGACGAACAATTAATCGCAGTAAGTTTATCACTCCATCTATTGTCCAGATTTGTAAGTATGCCATTTTATACACCCGCCCAAACATGGTGAAATTATAATATTGTGTTCTGAATATTTTCTGGACGAGAACCCATTAAGGAAACAACAATGACAACAGAATTTCGAAATAAGTCAGTATATAAATGGTAGTTTGGGTTTCATTTTAAGAGAAAATATTAAAAATACAAAATTATAGGAATATTTGAAAACATGTTTCAGACTTCGTCAAGTTTTAGGTTATGCCAAAAATTAAATACAATGGACATGCACTTCCTGACTCCTTTCTTACGTAATATTTATCAGGTCCCGTGCAAAATGCATCGATCTACTGGAGTAAATATCTAAATATCGTATCTTGAAACATGGAGGAGTTTGTTGGTCGTGTAGGGGAGATTCGTGATATTTTCGATCACTTGTTTTCCCCCTCATCGTCAAAAAGTGCTGTTTTCGTGCATGGATTGAAAGCAATCGGAAAGTCCTCTTTGATTCGACAGATTTGCAGCAAGGTTAAGGATTTTCAAGTCTATAGTGCGGATTTGCGAACTTCTGAAGAGCCAATCAAAAATCTGAAACATCTTTTTACTACAATTTTAAAGGAAAAGCAGTACCTTTCTGGTGAAGAGCATTTGGAAGAAGCATTTGACAAATTACTTGAAAGACTCTGTTCCGAAATCAAAGTGTCCGAAACAAAATATCTCATTGTAATATACAATATTGAAGGCGTTATAGAGGAAGGAATGTTTAAATACTTGGAAAAGGTGTTACATTTGCTAGCATATCGTAACAACGTACGAATCCTAGCAACTTCAACGACAAAACTTGAAATCAATCATCCTCGAGTTCTCGAAAAGAGACTGGATCCATTGTCATTGAAAGACTCGCAAGACTTGCTTCGAAAGCTTTGTCCATCTTTGAAAAACGACGAAAACTTCTTCAAAATAGTAAATCTATGCATGGGATTGCCTCTTGCTCTTAAAATGGTTGCAGCAGAGATTGCTGCCGGAATATTAACAATAGAAGATATCGTTTATCTGCTGAGTCAGTGTAGACTGAAACTTTTAAGCCAGGAATACTATCCAAACACGGATAGATTGGGTAACAATTCACTAAATTCATCACCAAAAGTAACACTTCTGGTTTAATGATAAAAGTATTGAATCATTATTGAATTTTTTATCACCAATAACAAGATGCTGATTTTTTTCTGTGACAGCACCAGTCTATCTTTCCTTTCTTCGGCGACTCTCTGAACCTCTACAAGAGAAATTATCCATGATAAATTACATTCCGGGAACATTTGATGCGAGGGAAGCATTGGAAATAATGGGTAAGCCTGGATATGATAAATTCTGGAAATTAAGGTATGTCACTCGTCAACTTTTTAGAAAAGTTCACGCAGAACCCCTTACTCCAAAACTATTTATTAAAACTCAATTTTTTAAACATATTTAATTTCAACAATGTTAATGTTTTAACATTCAACGAAACAAAAAGCTACAAAGAAGCAAGATTTCTGGGGGGACTATATCTTGTGGTGGAAGGATATTTAGCAGATAATTCTGCAAATCTGCACATTTATTAAATTTAATATTTTGGAACTTTAGCCTCAAATACTTTAACTCGGAGAAAATGTTCCATTATGATATTGCTAGGAATATTTAATATAGGTCTTAATTTAAATTTTAAGAACAATTTTTACACCTCTATTCAACAATTTTTTCCAAAACATGAAGATATGTCAAAAAAGTCGAGATAAAATTTACGCCATTTTTCGCCTGAAAATCGCATATTTTAATCAATATTTCAAAATTAACATCACTGACCCCTACCTTTTCTTTCATTATTTTAAAGTACTCAATACTTGTGACTGATCAGCACTTAAGTCGTAAAAAGCTTGATTTAAGAAAATGTTTTATTGCCTTTTTAATTTCCAATACCCCAAATATGTTAATTTTTAGTGCAAAAAGGTCACACAATAGTTTACGCGCATTGATTTGCATGATTTGTTCAATGATAAATATTGTTCAAAATATTTTACGTAAAATAAAATCATATTTATTGCCATGGTTATATTTGATAATATATGATAAAGGTTAAAGTAATTAACCAAAGAGTTAGAATTTAAGCGCAAAAAGGTCAACTTCATTGTACTGTAGATCAGTAAGATGAACACTGACCCACTATTTTCTCTGCGATTTTGAGTCACTCTATATGAATACTTATCCAAAATATACTTCTCAAAAAATCCTTGATTTAGCAAATTTCACGAGTGACATACCTTAAAATTCTTCACTCATTTGTCAAAAATATTCATAGATACTATAAATTCTAGGATGTGAAGGTTCAGATATTGAGGACCTGAAAACAGCAATAAAACATCACGTTATTCACAAAAACAGCAACTATCAAAGATTTGACATTCATGGAATTTTGCGAGACTGCATAAATGAATACATTCTAATAAAGGATTTACCCGGTGTGTATCAAACATATTTTACTTTGCCAATGATCTTATGAGGTATAATATTGTATTTCAACCATGTTTTATAATTATGCTTTTATGATTTTATATTGGATATTTCTTTTTAGTTGTACGTATCAGATTCTGTAAGGTCTTTTCGGAGATCCTTCAAGAGTTAGAAAAGCGTACTTTTACTTCTGAGTATCAGGCGGCCCTTTGTCAATTGAATGTGGAGCAACAAAACTTCACTAAGTTGTTTACAGATGTGTTCCACTGCACCGGGGATACCTATGATAACTTTGTCAATATTGCCTCGTTTGAGTTTAACATGTCCACACCAGCCTTTATGTTTAGTTCTCCTGAAACATATGGTAAAGAAATCATTATTCAATTAATTTATTAGAATATCGTCTCCCACATAACACAAACACTTATTTTTCTCGGTTATTGATCCTCTGTGATTTTCCTAATGCTGTAACACATAATTGCCCATTCTTGCAGAAATGGGAATGATTTTCTACCAGGAATGTTTGCGCCTTACACGAAAACAGAGAAATGAATACGATACATCACGAGTACTGATAGGCTGGGGGCGTGTTGTTACAAATATAAAGGTATTTCAAAACTTTTTAATAATGTAAGATCTGAAAAACCTCAATGTATTTAAATACCAACTCGGCCTTTACATTAAAAATCTATGATGCATATAAACCAAAATTCAGATTGCGTTTTTCTCTGTTTAATACGTGTATATTTTACAGTTTACAATCACCTTGTCTCAAACAAGTGTTGAAAAAGGGACGTTCATATTGATGTTCCAAGTTAATGATTAGAGCAGGCCCACGGCCAGGAACACGTTAAGTTCCAAGACAGTACCGTTGTCAGAAACCTTTGAAGTTAAGCACTGAAAATGGCTCGTTGTCATGAATTTACAGGTGAGGTTATGACAAAATCCGTCCGGTGTCATTACTTGAGAAGACAGGCCGTGAGCAGTTTTTCATTTTAAAAGTTAAATCATTTCAACCAATGTCTGAAATTGCAATGGGGAACAGGACTGACACCCTTTTGGTGTTGTATGAATTTCAGCCGTTAAAATTAAGTAATAAAAGAGGGGTTTGCGTTGGCGATATTAAACCCTGGTGAAATCAAACTCGGACTTCATTCATTTTCCTTCTGAGATGTTATATTTTTTGTAAACAGAATATTATATATATACCAATTGGTGCAGTCAGTATTAAGACATGTTATAAGCCTTTACGGAAAAAAATAGAACAAATTAAGTGAAATTTTTGATTTATTATAATTTATGTCCGTTGTCATGATAAGATACGAAAATTCAGTCCGTTGTCATCGGTCCGTTGTCGCTACTGCACTGTACGTATACACTATGAAGGAGGTCGATTTTAGTTTTTTTATGCTTTGATAAATTTCAAGCATTTTTTAAATAAATTAGTGAACTAATTAATCATAAGGAACTAAACCTATGCTATTTCCTATATTTCATATAATATTTAGCTTTTGTTTGTCAGACATAACGGCTTCAGCCCTTTTCCTTTAAAAACTTATTTCAAAGTGAAGGAAGAAATACGCACGCCAACTCTCTATTTCCGCCTACATTATGCACCCATTTAGATCAAATTCAATATTAATGACAATTTGGCCATAAAATTGTTGTGTAATACAAAGAACAGTTCAATGGTAATTAATGAATTGTTTTAATAACAGCGCTAAATAGTAAATTATCCCTATTTCCAGCTTTTGAAAAAGGGGGGTAGACGATATTATCATTTGAACGATCACCATATTTTGAAATAGTCTTCGATATGATTAAATGTTCCTAGTATCTTTTCTATTGTTTTAGGCAAATAAATTAAAAACATAAATATATTAATAAAATATAATGTTTCAGTTGTAAATCGCCTCGAAATTGGTGGAAAAAATAAGCATTTATAAATGTCATATGAGAAATATCAGTTTGATAGTGCAGTAAAAAATAACCAAACACAGATATGGCAGTTTTGTCGATTATGTCATTTACTTGAATGGCATAAAGTAAAATGTATAACAAACCATTAAGGGTGATCACTTGATATTAAACAAAACAGGATAAACATGTACATAGGTGCATGAAAGGTACAAGTGTGATCCCCCTGAGACTGACTAGAAATTTACATGCAGTAAAAATATCAGATAACATGTAAATATGCATAAAATATAACATAAATTAGATAATCCTTGGAGGCATCCAAACAATTGCGCTAACCCCATAAATGTATGACAAGTTTAAAATTTTACAAGAAAAATACATATTTTGACTAGAATGCAAAATAATACAAAAAAGAACCCATAAAAAGGGTGGTTGGAGGGTTTTATACATCGCACTAACAGGATTACAGAAATGGCGCAACAACAACAAAAAAAAAGAAAGATTTTTATTGGATTAAGAAAAATCCGTAACCATTGTAACTATCCGACGGTGTAAGATTTAATAGATATCTCATAGCGGCATAAATTGAATTATCTGTGATAATATTGTTTTTGTCGTTTTTGACTGTAAACATATCTGTGATAATATTGTTTTTCTTTGTCGTTTTTGTCAATAAAGTATAAACATACTCCCCCCCCCCCCCCCCGCCGTTTGAATTTTTGAAATAACAGTCCATGATACATGTAAAAAGGAATTTTTGTTTCCTGGGGGGATGTTTTCAAAGTATTTTCCGTTAATTTTTTATTGTGAAAAACACAAGTTTACCAAAATCTTATAGTTGTCTCTCTTTGTTTTCCCAAATAAGTAAAGTTTTATGAAATTCATATAATTATCTATAAAATATATTAAAAAGCCTTCGAATTTGTTAAGTATTGAAAACTGACTTGGCGGTAGGCGGGGGACCAGGCTTTGGTTCGCAGTTCTTTGAAGTTGAGGGAATATTCAAAGATTTTATGCAAACGTTAAGAGCTATATCTCAAAGTAAAAGATCCCAGTCATTTGTTCATATTTCTGTTCATTTTGAATTTCTTTGCTTATGCAAAAAATTCTTTTAGGAGGGAGTATCATCTGCCTACCGTTTACACCCACCGTGTGCTCCTTGTCTTGATCGGGAAATATACCGGGAAAAATCGACAATTCAGGGTGTATAAAGTGGCCTATCAGTTAGTATGAAAAACGTCAGTCAGCCTTTGACTCTATGATAAATTGTATTTGCTGACAGATTATTGCTTCGAAAAAAAAAAATTTTGAAATTATGACTTTCATAAAACAAGACTTTTGATATTCTTGTTTTAGCAACTTGTTTGTCAATCGTTTAATACGTATTAAAAACTTCTGTATTTTAAAGTACACGTATATCCAACATTCTAATTTTGTTATACTGATAATATATCAGAAATTGTTACACGTTTGCACTCTATTATGAAAATGAATTGAATATAAAAACAACACAGAATGGTTAGCACGTTGGCGTATATACACTACTCCTAAGACGACCCGCAATAAGATTCCAGATTTTCTGCAATATGCTTTCTCTTTCTTAAGAGTACATATACATTTGATCATTTTTGTTATATATGTATTTTATTGATCAGTCTGACTAAAACAAGCCTCTACTATTTCACTTTCAACAAAGTAAACTAGTAGGGACTGGCTTTAGTCAGACTGTTTTATTGATAAACTTACAGGTTAAGAAAAAGACACCGGACTAGAAAAACTTAACATGTACTGACAACGGACGTTTTGCTTATAAATTGCAATTTCTTTTAAAAAGCCTATTATCAAGAATAGGCTGTCAGTTGCCTAACACATGTAAAATTAAGTTTTTCTTCATATTTTAAAATAAAAGGACCATTTCAATAAATTTTAAATAAGAAATATTTAATTTTCAAGCTGACGATCACAACTTCACAAATGGGCATGTGATTGCTAACCAACCTTCTCAAAATGTATTGTAGATATCTAATACATTAATCTTTGTATAGAATACTGAATGCTGCATCTGTTCCCCAAAATTTAAATTTTATCTCGAAATTGGTCAAAAACGTCATTTTGTAGGCATTATGTATAAATCTTTGTATGTTTCTAATGATTGATTGATTAATTGTATATTGTTTAACGTCCCTCTCGAGAATTTTTCACTCATATGGAGACGTCACCGTATGCCGGTGAAGGGCTTTAAATTTTGACCTTTACTCGGCACTCAGGGCCATTGAGCAGTGAGGGATCTTGCCAACGCCTGCCGCTGACACGGAGCCTCGGTTTTTAAGGTCTCATCCGAAGGACCCGCAACTTTCACTTCAAAGTGCCGAGCGCATGGCGAGGGAACGGTTGCCACCCATTTTATCGACTGGGTCAGTCGCGGCCGAGATTCACGACCTCCCGATCACGTGTTTCTAATGACAATGGACGGATATTATCATAACCTTACCTATATTTTCATGACAACGAGTAATTTTCAGTGCTTAACTTTAAAGGTTTCTGACAACGGTACTGTCTTGGAACTTAACGTGTTCCTGGCTGTGAGGTCCATTTCCAGAAAGCTGCAAGTCCTCTTCAAACAAACGGGCATGGCTGATGCATTTATTGATATCCAATTCCAAATACATTTTTGATATTGCATACGACCTACATTTTCTGTATGATTGAACTGTTGAAAATAAAAACTGCAGCCCATCTTATTCCAAAAATAATTATAATGTAATTTTTAAGTTTTTAAGCATACCCTTAAATTTGCAAAAATCTTTTTAACCGAAAAAAAAAAACAAAAAAAAAAAAAAAAAACAAAACAAAACAAAAAAAAAACAACTGCTAGTTTATTGAAACAGGCATTTTTTGGTGCACATCTTAAGAAAAAGAGGGATGCCAATCCAAAAAGAGGATTCCAAAGTGTAGTTTTTTTATTTTTAATTTTAGGAAGTTTTAAGGACAGACGATACAAGGAAAAATGAATGCCTGGATTAGTTTATATTTTTTGACCTAATATCATTGCAAAGAGATAATAAATTTGTTGAATTTTGGAAATTTTATTCAAAAAGATTTTAATCCTTATTAATCTATACAAAAGTTATCTGTCCGCAGACGCTAATCAATAAAAAAAATGTGGAATGGCCTAAACTTGAACATAACTTGTATTAATTTTGCATGTAGTGTGGTACTCTTCTAGAAAAATCATTTGGTTTGAACTTTGCCTCATAGATACATGTAGCATTCATCAAGGTGAGATTCGTTATCTTACTTGATTACCTCTGTTTACATTGCATAATCTGAGGTGCAGGGCTATCAAACTCTGAAAGATAAGGGATAGTGAAATGGATGTTCATTGCAATTTTTATTCTAACAATTTTTTTTAAATCTCAGCTTTACTTTAGTTTGCTTGTTTGTTTGTATGTGTTTGACGTCCCTCTCGAGAATTTTTCACCCATACAGAGACGCCCCCAACATTCGGTGGAAAGATGCAACTTTGTTCTTTCCTTCTGCACTTAGGGCCATTGAAGAGTGAGGTTTTTTCATGCCAGTACCTTCTGCGACATGGGATCTCGGTTTATACGTTCTCGTCCGATAGACCGGTTTTAACGTCCAACAGTGGGATTCTAACCCGCGAAGTAAGGATAAACTCCTTACTTCGTGAACTTAAAGCAGATGCTCTGAACTTAAAGCAGATGCTCTAACCATGTATTATAGGATCAAAGATTTAGTTAAAAAAACAGAAAGATGTGTAGCTTATGATGTATTAATGCATATTTAAGATAATTATATATAAACAAAACCAATACATTGTAATAATATGGTAAGTAATTCTCTTTGAAATGAAATATGTTATGCCAATAAATTAGGTAATAGTGCCAACATTTTGGAAGAATATAGCTTGGTCAGTAAAGTTTTAAGCAAGTCGATTCCTACTAAGCCAGGAATCCCATGCGAATCAAACTTGCATGGATGACCCATCTGAGAATGAACATTAGTAATTCTAGATATCCCATATTTCCAAATGAACAATTTTTATTTTGTAAATTTTTGACAAACAATGTTGATGAAACAAGAATTTCGATAGCAGTATATGGGTTTAAAGTCATCATTTCATAAGTACATGTACAACAGAATATATGTACATTGAACATAAATAACGAACAGTATTCAAGCTCAAAAGTCCATTAAAAATACAAAATAGCGGCAGGGCTGAGCGGAATCAGAGTGGGATCAGGTGCCATGGAGGAGTGAGCATTTCCTGTCACACCCGCCTTGTGTTCCTTGTCATGACGGAAACAACGGAAAAATATGTCTACAATTCAGTGTGTATATAATGGCTTAACGATTCAAATGAAAAACCTCAGTCTTCGTTTGACTTAATGATAAATCGTATTTGCTGACAAGGTCATTGTATCGGCCATAGAACTGACGAAATAATGATTTTAATCAAAACTTTTGATATTCTTGTTCCAGCAACTTGTTTGTCAATGATTTAATATGTTTTAAAAATTGTTCATTCGTAGAGCATGCTCTTGCGAATCAAATCACCTTAGAGAAATACACCCCGTAAACAGTTAATGAAAGTATATTGCTGCATATGTAAGGGAAGTTGACGTAAAGTCATCTTGTTTGTCATAAAGGCTGATTGTTCGATTAAACTCCTTTTCAAGTGAAATATCTAAATATGAAACAGATGTGTCCGATTCTGTAGTATTTTTTTATTTCAAGCTGATATATCCTATCGACATAAAAATGGAAATAACTATTGTTTATTGACTTGATAATACGTCGTCGATATACTAGTATCTAAATGTCGAGTTGAAGGTTAGAGTAAGTTTTTTTTAATCACGCATAAGGATTTTTATTACGTTTTAGTATACAATATAGACACGGTTATTCAAATCCATTTGGGTTAATAGAAATTTCTAAGCATTAAAAACTCACATATGATTGTGAAGAAATTCCTAATTAGAAAGGGTTATAGGTATAAGTTGGATTACCCTCTACTAGAATTAAATCCCAGTTCCTCTAAAATAAAATTACAATAATGAACCTTACAGACAAATGTATATTTAACTGTATATTTACATAAGATAGTAATGAATCAACTGAGGCATTTTTTTAAACTTTTATTGTAACACTGAATTTTTTTGACTACTGAACACTGAATTTTTTTTCTTTTTAAGTCCCATCACATTTACATTATAACACTGTGGACTTAAAAAGATATTGAAAACTATCGTTATATGTCTTCAACCACTTGAAATTGCAATTGCGCATGCATCCCTTAATTTTTTTTTAATTACATATATATTATATCATGTTGAACTATTAGTAAGTCAAATATATTTTGTGTTTAAATTATGTTATTTTCTGTTATTTAGGGAGACTATATTCTTGGTGAAAAGCATTACAGAAGCGCTCTGGGTATACGACAATGTTTTGTTAAGAAAAGCGACTTCTCTTTGGCTTTGCTATATCAGGGACTGGGCTGGAATCTAGGATGTCAAGGAAAACTACAGGAAGCAATAGCGTAAGTATTTGTATTCAGATTGGATTGAAAAAGACACAGTTATTATATATACCTTAATTTTTGTACTTTTTCACGTACAAATATGTATATTTGGAGATAGTATCTTTGCGATCAAGTACAATAATTTTCACTTTTTTATTCTTTGGTGTGTACAATACTTATTGTTTCATTTATATCTATTAGATTTCTGGAAAAAGCATTACAAACTGAGTTGGAATTAGGGATGAAATTAGAAAATCTAATTTTGAACACCTTTCAAACACTAGCTTTATTCCATCTGGATCTAGGTACACATGTATCAAGCATACAAGCTTCAACGTGTGAAATATAAGTAAGCGGAAAATAAATAAGAATCGTTAGTTCCAAAATAAATTTTGAAATATATTTCATTATTTAAGTAGATCATATGAAAATTGGTGAGAAATATCAAATGGAAGCATTACGGCGTAGGCGGCGGGCTATTGGGACAGATATACACCCAATAATGGGTTCCATGATTAACAATGTTGGAGAAATGTATCGGAAGAAACCCGATTTGAAAGAAGCAGAGACACATTTTAGACGTGGATTAGATATAAAAATTCGAACAAATGCTGCAGTAAAAAGTATAGTGGATTCCGAAATCAATCTAGCAAATTTATTGACGGAAACCGGAAGGACTGAAGATGCCATTGTGCTCTTACATAGTAGTCAGAGTCGGATAGAAAATTTAAAAGGTATTTATAGAGATGTTAAAGCACAGGTTCATGAGGCTTTTGGCAAAGCGTATGTCAAAGAAGGGAATTATACTTTTGCTTCCCACTCCTTTCGAAGTGCCATTGAATGCCTTGAAGACAGCGAGCCAAGTGACCTCGGTTTACTCGGTTTGCAGTGTCAGTTGGCAGAGATTCTGATTAGTCTGCAAAAATACAAAGAAGCAATCAATTTAATGAAAACGTCTTTGCAAGGCAAGGAAGAGGCGATTAAACATAATCCATTTACTCTGTTTGTGCTTCGTTGTTATAAAATCATCAGAAAAGCTCAGATTGCTTATGGTCTTGTCTCTGAAGCTCAAGAATCAGAAAAACTTGGTCATATTGAATTTACACGCTTAGAAAACTTGTTTAAAGATCTGAAAAACAAGAGAGGACTTGAAAGACTTCACGAAGAATGGGAATGAAATTGATTCGTTGAATTCTTTTTTTTTCATGAATAAACGAAAATGTTGTATTTGTTTTATGTTTACATTGCATCTATCATGAATAAATACCATTCCATATTCAAGCTTCATTGTTATTGAAAATATTGTCCTTTAAAGAAGGACTAATCTAAAAAATTATATAATTATTTCCATCAGTTGTTATTAATTTTACGGAAGTACGATCTTAAATGTTAAAATAAATAAACAAATTGAAATTTAAAAAACCTCTTTCATACTTATTCAATTCATATGTACCTGATATTTATGCTTCGAAGATTCAATGTTTTGCATAACTTAGCTTTCACTGAGATTATGAGTCAACTACACATAATTGAATAAAATTTTTAAAAACGTTTTAATGTATTTACTTCAATCCTTATGAAAAAATTCTAGTTATAAAGTTATGCAGAACATTCTCCCGGATCAAATATTTCTTTCAGACAACCAAATTTTCTTATTGGCTTTCAAATGTATTCAACATTGAAAAAAGGAAATAAATTGATTCAAAAAGTTTATAAACAATCCTAAAATATGTCGATATTTTTATAGAATCTTTACAATAGTTCTTCTTTTGAAGAAACAAGGAATTGGGTATCCTTTCCACACTAATGAAAACAAGAAAAACAAGGATTGAATTCTCTCAGATGTAAGTCAAACTCCAAAGGACATGGTCAAAAGGTCTAAAGTGTTGTACCCAAAGGTAGGTCTTGTTACAAGGAATAGACCTGTGAAATATAAAAGCCTTGGTCCTAACTGTTCAAAAGTTATGAAAGGTATTTTTTTTAAGTTTTAAAAAGTAGATTTAACTCTTAGATCGAGGTCAAAAGGTCAAAAATATTTATACCAGCTGAAAGATCTTGTCACAATAAATATACATGTGAAGGATGAAAGCCCTAGATCAAACTGTTCAAAAGTTATGACCAAGGTTAACGTGTGGTATTTTTTGGTTAAAGTTGGTCAAACTCCAAGGTCAAGGTCAGGAGGTCAAATTTGTGGTACCCAAAGAAAGGTCTTGTCTCAAGTAATGCATCTGTGAAATATCAAAGTCATAGCCCCACCCACTCAATAGTTATGGGCTAGGTTAAAGTTGACAACAGACAGACAGACAAACAGACAGCCAGGACAAAAACAATAAACATATACACAGAAAAGAGAAAATTATTGAACTAGGTCAGGAAAGAGTTGTCTGCTCTAAAGTATGCATAAACATGTACTGTCCGAACAAATGATTATTTTCGTCAACAGTGGTTATAGTGGTACCTTGCTGCTTCTATTTTGCCTCAAATGCCTGTCAAAAATGCTTATATTTGGTTTTACTGGTAAATAAAGTAAATATAGATCTCAATAACTTTTTAAACTAACATGTTTTAATAAACTATTTAAAAGCACTTTTTGAAAATATATTCCAATTAAACAAAAGTGCAATCAAAAGATATACATGTAATAGATTTACAGAAATTCAGATTTTCTGAGAATTTATAATTTTTTCTGTTTTGTGCTTTTTTAAAAATTTCAAAAACCTTTAAGAGCAGAGCAGGATATTGATAGAAAAAAGAGAGATTTTGATAACCGAGTATTTGATTTTAATGGCATACAAGTCCACTGAGAAGGAAGTATAACGTTTAAAGAGGTAAGATTTATTTTATCATGTTTATGAATTCTGAGAGGTAAAAAAATTAAGAAATGTTTCTGTTTCATTTTCAAATGTCTTTAAAAAACTGTTTCGAGTAGACTTTTAAAAACCTGTCTAAGAAACTTTTTTTTTTTAAAAATAAAAGATGATATTTAAGCGTTTCCATCTTTAAAGAAGTTGTTAAGAGACGCTCTTAATTCATAATGAATACAAAAGTACAAAATATTTCTTTAAAAATATAAATAAAATAGGAATGATTTACAGTTTCACAAAAACTACTTACATACAAACCACAACGATTGACACTAAAGTGATTGAAGTAATGTATATATTGCAACACAGGAAGCTA